CCAGTTATGCCAGCACCATTTGTTAAAGATGCTTTCCTTCTTCCATTGTATACCTTTAGCTCCCTTGTCGAAAATTAGGTGTTCATAAGTTTGTGGGTTAATATCTGGGTCTTCTATTCGATTCCATAGGTCGACTTCTCTGTTCTTATGCCAATACCAAGCTGTTTTCAATACTGTAGCTCTATAATAGAGTTTGAAGTCAGGGATGGTAATGCCTCCAGAAGTTCTTTTATTGTATAAGATTGTTTTGGCTATCCTGGGTTTTTTGTTTTGCCATATAAACTTGATTATTGTTCTCTCAAGGTCTGTGAAGAAGTTTGATGGGATTTTGATGGGGATTGCATTGAATCTATAGATTGCTTTTGGTAGAATTGCCATTTTTACTATGTTGATTCTCCCAATCCAAGAGCAGGGGAGGTCTTTCCATTTTCTGGTATCCTCCTCAATTTCTTTCTTCAAAGACTTAAAGTTTTTGTCAAATAGGTCTTTCACTTCCTTTGTTAGAGTAACCCCAAGATATTTTATGCTATTTGTGGCTATCATGAAAGGTGATGCTTCTCTGATTTCCCTCTCTGCTTCTTTATCCTTTGTGTATAGGAGGGCCACTGATTTTTTGGAGTTGATCTTGTATCCTGCCACGTTACTAAAGGTGTTTATCAGCTGTCGGAGTTCTTTGGTAGAGTTTTTGGGGTCGCTTATGTACACTATCATATCGTCAGCAAATAACGAAAGTTTAACTTCATCCTTTCCAATTCGAATCCCCGTGATCCCCTTATGTTGTCTTATTGCTATTGCTAGAACTTCAAGCACTATATTGAAGAGGTATGGAGAGAGTGGACAGCCTTGTCGCGTTCCTGATTTTAGTGGAAAGGCTTTGAGTTTCTCTCCATTCAGTTTGATGTTAGCTGTCGGCTTGGTGTATATTGCTTTTATTATATTTAGGTATGATCCTTGTATCCCCAGTCTCTCCAACACCTTTATCATAAATGGGTGTTGAATTTTGTCAAATGCTTTTTCAGCATCTAGTGAGATGATCATATGGTTTTTTCTTTCAGTTTATTTATATGATGGATTACATTGATAGATTTGCGTATGTTGAACCAGCCCTGCATCTCTGGAATGAAGCCGACTTGATCATAATGGATAATTTTTCTAATGTGCTCTTGGATTCGGTTTGCCAGTATTTTATTGAGAATTTTCGCGTCGATGTTCATGAGTGAGATTGGCCTGTAATTCTCTTTCTTGGTTGTGTCTTTGTGTGGTTTTGGTATTAGGGTAACTGTAGCTTCATAAAAGGAGTTAGGCAGTGACTCTTCTGTTTCTATATTGTGGAATACGTTAAGGAGTATAGGTATTAGCTCTTCCTGGAAGTTCTGGTAGAATTCTGCATTGAAACCATCTGGTCCTGGGCTTTTTTTGGTAGGGAGATTTTTGATAACAGCTTCTAACTCTTCGCGAATAACAGGTCTATTTAGATTGTTCACCTGTTCTTGGTTCAACTTTGGTATATGGTATTTATCTAAAAAAATGTCCATTTCTTTTACATTTTCCAACTTTGTGGCATATAAACTTTCATAGTAAGATCTAATGATTCTCTGAATTTCCTCTGTGTCTGTGGTTATGTCCCCCTTTTCATTTCTGATCTTATTAATTTGCATGTTCTCTCTCTGCCGTTTGATTAACTTGGATAGGGGTTTGTCAATCTTGTTGATTTTCTCAAAGAACCAGCTTTTTGATTCATTGATTCTTTGGATTGTTTTCTCTGTTTCTATTTTGTTGATTTCAGCCCTCAGTTTGATTATTTCCAGTCTTCTAGACCTCCTGGGTGAATCAGCTTCTTTTTTTTCTAGATCTTTCAAGTGTGCTGTTAAGTCTCCAATGTGTGCTTTCTCCGCTTTCTTTAATTGGGCACTTAGTGCTATGAACTTTCCTCTTAGCACTGCTTTCATAGTGTCCCATAGGTTTGAGTATGTTGTGTCTTTGTTTTCATTAAATTCAAGGAAGAGATTAATTTCTTTCTTTATTTCTTCCTTGACCCAGGGGTGATTTAGTAGTTGACTGTTCAGTTTCCATGAGTTTGTTGGCTTCCTGGGGGGAGCATTGTTGTTGAATTCTAATTTTAGTCCATGGTGATCTGACAAGACACAGGTAGTTACTAATATTTTTCTGTATCTGTGGAAGTTTGCTTTGTTACCGAGTATGTGGTCAATTTTCGAGAAGGTTCCATGAGCTGCAGAGAAAAAGGTATATTCTTTCCTATTTGGGTGGAGTGTTCTATAGATGTCTGTTAAGTCCATTTGATTCAATACCTCCAATAGGTCTCTCAATTCTCTGTTTGGTTTCTGTCTGATTGACCTGTCCATTGGTGAGAGAGGAGTGTTGAAGTCTCCTACTATTAGTGTGTGTGGTTTGATGACCGCCTTGAGTTCTAGAAGAGTTTCTTTTACATATGTGGGTGCCTTTATATTAGGAGCATAGCTATTCAGGATTGAGACTTCCTCCTGATGAATTGTTCCAGTTATGAGTATGAAATGTCCATCTTCATTTCTTCTGATTGATTTTAGTTTGAAGTCGATTTTGTTAGATATTAGAATGGCCACGCCCGCTTGTTTCTTAGGTCCATTTGCTTGGAAAACCTTTTCCCAACCCTTTACTCTGAGTAAGTGTCTGTCTTTGTGGTTGAGGTGTGTTTCTTGTAAACAGCAGAATGTTGGATCCTGTTTTCGTATCCAATCTCTAAGTCTGTGCCTCTTTATAGGTGAATTGAGTCCATTGATATTAAGTGATATTAATGACCAGTGGTTGTTGACTCCGGTCATTTTTTTTTTTTAAGTAGTAGAGTGTATGTGTTTTTCTTCTTTGATTTGTGCTTGTGAATGGTCGCTAGATGTTCGAGTTATTGTAGATCGTGTTGGGAATGTTGGATTCCTTCGGTAGTGATTTTCCTTCTAATATTCTCTGTAAGGCTGGATTAGTAGCTACGTATTGTTTAAATTTGTTTTTATCCTGGAATATTTTGTTTTCTCCATTGATAGTGAACAATAGCTTGGCTGGGTATAGTAGTCTGGGTTTGCATCCATGGTCTCTTAGTTTCTGCAGTACCTCTATCCAGGATCTTCTGGCTTTCATGGTTTCCATAGAGAAATCCGGTGTAAGCCTGATAGGTTTACCTTTATAAGTTACTTGACCTTTTTCCTTTGCAGCTCTTAAAATTTTTTCTTTAATATTTATGTTTTGTGTTTTGATTATTATATGGCGCGGGGATGTTTTTTTCTGATCCAATCTATTCGGTGTTCTGTATGCTTCTTGAACCTTCATAGGAATATCGTTCTTTAGGTTGGGAAAGTTTTCTTCTATAATTTTGTTGAATATATTTTCTGGGCCTTCGATCTGCAGTTCTTCTCCTTCTTCAATCCCTATTATTCTTAGATTTGGTTTTTTTATTGTGTCCCAGATTTCCTGAATGTTTTGTGAAGAGAATTTGTTGGATTTGCCGTTTTCTCTGACCAGAGCATTTATTTTCTCTATGGTATCTTCAGAATCTGAGATTCGTTCTTCTATCTCTTGTATTCTATTGGTTATGCTTGATTCTGTAGTCTCCGCTCGTTTACCTAGGTTTTCCATATCCAGCCGGTTCTCGTTTTGTGTTTTCTTCATTGCCTCCATTTCAGTTTTCAATTCTTGGACTGTTTCCTTTACTTGTTTGATTGTTTTTTCTTGGTTTCTCAGGGTATCACTCACGGATTTACTTATTTCTTCAAACTTTTTGTTATATTTCTCATCCATTTCTATACTCATTTCTTCAAACTTTTTGTTATACTTCTCGACCAGTTCCTTAAGGGAGTTATTCATATCCTGTTTAAGGGACTCTATTGCTTTCATAATGGCACTTTTTTCCACTTCATCTGGGTTAGAGTGTTCAAATCCTTCTGTTGTAGGGTCATTGGGATCTGATATTTTCATGTTGTTTTTCAGATTGTTGGAGGAGGTCTTGCCTTGGCGTCTGCCCATCTCTTACTTCAAATGTTCTCTATTGGAACTTCTGTTACCGGGTCAGGTTCCCTTGTTGGGCAGGGAGTTCACTGATAGAATGCCTACCTTTCCCCAAACAGGGTATTGAACCACAGGCACTGCCTCTTTCCGGGATGCCCCTATAGAGCAGGCCCAGTGTGCAAGGCAGCTGAGCTGGGGAAATTTTATGGGCTCAGTGGGAGGGGAGAAATATAGAAATTTGTACCTGGATGGAAGCTGGGATGGCAGGTGGGAGAGCCTAGCAGGGTGGAAACAGCACTGCAGGCTGACCTGGGAGTCTATGGGGTCGGGGAGAGTCCTAGCTCCCCCTCGCCGGGCCCCTGTCGTGGGCCCGAATCAACTCACCACTCCGAAGGCCCTCTGGATGGAAGCTGGGATGGCTGGCGGGGAAGGTAGCAGGGTGGAGCCAGCAGAGCAGGCTGACCTGGGAGTCTATGGGGTCGGGGAGAGTCCTAGCTTCCCCTCGCCGGGCCCCTGTCGCGGGCCCGATTCCCCAATGAAATCTTTTGGATAATTAAAAATGCTGTTTTAGGCCCTTGTCCAATGAATAGGAGTCAGCACGAGCCAAGGCCTGGGATAGTTCTGTAAGTATCCTTCCATCTGATTCTTTTTAGAACATGGAAAACATTTTTCCTTCATTTTATTAGCTCAGTGATAGATTCTCCTGAAAAGCTGGTACCCAGATGTCAAGATGCATTCTTTCTTTCTTTTTTTTTTTTGGAGGTCAATATTGTTTTCATGAGACTCCAAGTTTAAAATGTCGTTTGTAAATGTGGACAATGTGAAGGTTTTGTTGGGTGAGATATATTAAGAAGAAGAGCTACAGACTTCTTCACATCCTACCTGATTCTGAAGGCACTGCTAAAGAGAGGTTAGCTTTAGCCCCAGTAGCTTTAGCAGGATTTGCTATGCAGCTGTGGACATACTGACGCTCTTTTGAGAGACTGGATGCCGGGAGAGCAGAACAGAGCGAGCTGCTGGCGTACTCCCCTCTCTCCCGTTTCTGTGCTAGGTGAGGAAAGTTTGGAGAGGGATAATGGGACACATGGGATCTGAAGGTGGGAGGGAACCAGTGATGGTGGTGGGGTGTAAGGAGCACAAAGAGGGACCGTGGGTAAAGGGGACGAGTGGGAACAGAGCACTCTGACACGTTATAAGAATGCCTTGATGCAACCTTGTTCTGTACACTAACTGAATTGAAACAAAACAGAGTAAAGAGAGGGAGCATTATGGTAGCAAGTTGGTCCCCGTGTATCCGCTTCCTCAGTCTTGCCCGGGATCACTGAAAAGTGAACAGCGATTTATCAGAAGAGACTCATGGGCCTGTACTCAGGAATGACCTCACCAGGTGCTGCCTGATTTCCTTGGTTCTGGCCCCATAGATGATGGGGTTGACCAGACATGGGAGAAACAGGTAGAAAGCACTGAGCAGGTTGTGTGTGTCTTGGGAGGCAGCACGGGCCACGCAGTAGACGATGGATGAGGACATGGTAGAAGAGTAGACAGTGAAGATGACGAGCAGGTGGGAGCCACAGGTGTTCAGGGCCTTAGCCCGTGCTCCACCCGATGAGATCTTGAAGACAGCGTGGATGATGTGGGAATAGGAGGCTCCTAGCAGAAGCATATCCAGGACTCTGTTAATGGTGCGTATGATGAGTCCCACAGTCTTATTCAGGGAGATGTCCCCACAGGAGAGCTTCATCAGGGCCATGTGCTCACAGGCAAAGTGATGGATCACATCTGAGCGGCAGAAGCGCACTCGGGAGGCCAGCACCACCACGGGAGCAACGATGCGTGTGTTCCTGGTGACTGCCAACCCCACCAGGCCAGCCAGCAACTGTCTTGTCACTATCTCTGGGTAGCGGAGAAGATAGCAGATAGCCACATAGCGATCCAGGGCCATGATCAGGAGGATGTTGCAGTCCATAGAAACCAGAAAGTAGATGCAGAACATCTGTCCCAGGCACCGAGGAAGGGAGATGCGGTTGAAGCGTGTGGAGAAGCTGAACAGCATGGCGGGCAGCACGGTGGTGGCAGTGCAGACATTGACGGCCAGCAGCAGGGCGATGAGCAGGTACATGGGCTGGTGCAGGATCTGCTGGGATGCCACGGTGTGGATGACCAGGGCATTGGTGAAGAGGATCACCACGTAGAGGCTGAGGAAGGGCAGCACTAGGAGGGCTCTGGCTTCTTGTATCCCTGGGAAGCCCACTAGGAGGAAGCTGGTGTAGGACTCATTGTAGGTGCCATTGCCCCACCCTGACATGATGCCCGAGGGCACAGGGCGGCTCCAGGGAGAAGGAGGGGCAGGATGCCTGGTTTCAGTCCCTGAAAGGCCCTGCAAGAACCTGCCCCAGCCTTACCAGGCTGGACTGGGTGTTTGGATTTTCATGAGTCTCCAATATTTCTAGAAGAAAAAAGAAGACTTTTAGGCTTATTATTTAATGAGCTCTACATCTTTCTATAAGTCATTGCTTGCATTTCCAATATATCATGGGAGCAGATTTTGCATGCAGAATCTGTGGGTCAAGTGATAGTCACACTTTTTCCATGTATGAAGTGGATTTCCAGAGAAGTTGAATGGATCTCATCACTGACTCAGTGGTGCTGGTCCTGAGTCATCACGGTGGTGGCTGGTAAGTGATATTTTAGCTGACATGTCTAGTTGATTTTGTTGTCTATCAGGAACTTAGTATGTCCCTAGTAGTTTAAATGTTAGTCTTTATGTATTTTTGAAACATGGTTTATCAATCATGTCAGCATTTTCACTTTGTTTGTGGTATTACTAAGACTAAAAGTCTACATGTATAAAATTAATTCAATTGATATATCTTTTTGTAAATTATTTCTTTTGTTTGTAGAATAGAAAATCCTGTCTTATTCAAAGACCAAACAGATAGTGAATATATTCTGTTATTCTTTGGGATATGAGTTTTATTTTTTGTATGTTTGTGTCTGAATGTTTGTGTGGGTGTGCTTGCCTGAGTGTCCGGAGGTCAACATCAGGTGTCTTTCTATACAAATTCCCACCTTATTCCTGAGACAGGTTGTTCACTGTTTTGACTGTATTTTCTGGCCTGGGAGTCCCTGAGATTCAACCATCTTGGTTCTCATGTTTGTTCAGCAAACACTTTATACTGTTCTAGTTAATCTCTGGTGCTGTGTTAAGACACCATGCAAAAGAGAGAGAGGCTTCTGAGAGAAAGTTTATTCTAGTTTACAATTGCAGACAGAGCCACAGTGGTGGGAGACTTGGTATCAGGCAGCTGGAGCAGGAAGCTGAGAAGCCACCCCTCCACCGTCAAACAGGAAGCAAAGTGAGGCCATAGGCCCTCAAAGCCCACTCCCCAGTCACATAGCGTCTTCCAGCAAAGCTCTACTTCTTAAAGGTTTATAGTCTCCCCAAATGGTGCCACCAATAGGGGACCAAGTGTTCAAATGGGAGACATTGCTCTTTCAAACCATGACATCCATCGAGCAATCTTTCCATCCAAGTGTTTTTGAGTTCTGACCAGCATGAAATACATTTGGTTCATGTCCTGTGATAATATAACTTGGTTTTACCCAGATAGCAACGTGGTTGTTGTTCCAATTACCTGTCATGTGTACAGGTCCTCAAGGAGGCTAGACAAGGGCGCTGGATCTCCTGGAGCTGGAGCTACCCAACATGTGCGCTGGGAACTGAACTCGGGTCCTCTGAACGAGCAGCAGTGCTCGTAAATACTGACTTATCTCTCTTTTCCTGAGGTGTTCTAGTTTTTTATTTTTGATTGTTATTTTTGAGGCAGTGATGTCTCGTTTGTACTCATACCAGGACCATACAATTTTCAAAATATTCACTGTAAATGACTCACTACAGGACTTCTTCATTTCAAGTGTACAACTTAGTGGTTCCTAGGACGTTCACAGCACATGGATCTACAACCGCCACGATTACACTTTCACTAGTGCCAATGGAAACTCTGTCCACCGATAAACATTTGCTAATCAATTGCTAAGGTTCTTCCCGAGTTAGTGGGTTTGCCTGCTCAGGAAATTTCCTAATTGTAAACTTTTGCAGTTAGCTGGGATGGCAAATATGCACCACCATGTCTAGTCTGTGTTTTCCGAGCATCTTCTCATTTATTTGTTGGCTACTCAATCTCTCCAAGGGAAATGTATGAAATGTATGTTTGCTTTTTTTTTTTTGACAGGCTTTCTCTGTGGCTTTGGAGCCTGTCCTGAAAGTAGGTCTTGTAGACCAGGCCTCATACTCACAGTGATCCACCTGCCTCTGCCTCTCAAGTTCTGGGATTAAAGGTGTGTGCCACCACTGCCCAGCTGGAAATGTATGTTTGAACATTTAAATTTGGTTGCTTCATATCACTGAGTTGTTAGACTCCAGAGCCATTTTGATCACTATGATCTGATCATTATTATGATCTGAATCATTATTCAGATTCCTAATGCAACACTTTCATAAGCGCTTTCAAGTTTTTCATTATTCTTATTTATTTTCCCCACTTAAGTGATAAATAGTATCGCTTTGTTAGTTTTCAAAAATTACCTTGTTGTAATTTGAAAAATTGGAATTTCATTAAACCTATAGAGTAGTCTCTGGAGAATCAAAATCTTGACCACACTGTGTCTTTCTGTCTGGTGACAAAGTGTGGTGTTTTTTTTCCAAAATTTAAAAAAAAATTAGTATGTATGGTGTGTGTGTGTGTGCATGTATATGTGCACATATGTGTGTATGATGAGTATAATGTGTGTGTAATATGTGTATGGTATATGTATGATGTGTATATGATGTGTGGTGTGTGGTGTGGTGTGTGTGGTGTGCATGTGTGGTGCGTGTGTGTGGTGTGCATGTGT